CCTGAAGTCTGGCCTTTTCACTAATGGTTTCAAAAACACAAAGTTTGGATGAGGGGCGAAACGTTTCTTTTTAACAAAAAAAACGAAGTCCAGATGACATGATTCAACCTTTTTGTTCCTACACCTGGTTGTTTTGGGAATCACTTTTTTTTCCATGACACCTCTTTGATTTAAAGCAGTTTTGTTCGGTTTATTTTAAATCCATATGTAAATGCCAGCACAAGAAGGGGGTCCAGTCTCCACACGGGCTGCCACATATTTTTGGTTAATCAGAAAACAACTCTGAGTGGCAACAATGCCCAACATATGTTCCACTTGTAACCATTTGTAGGTCTGACCATTTGAATTAAATAAAACATTAGTGGTCACACACCTTGCCTTCACTGTGTCTGCTTCTCCCCTAAATTGCTTCAAACTCCAAACGCAGGACTGTGTTGAATGTAACTTACACATCTAAGGTATTGAGCAGGCACTGCATGGTCAACCTTTAAAAAAGTGAAGAAGTCAGCTGTATTTTGCAATCTGTTTGGTAAGAAAAACAACTTTTGCTGAGAAGCTATGTGTGAATATTTCTTACTTTCTGGCCTCCTTGTAGTTGGTCATAAAGCTATATTAACCCACATGTTTATTCTGGCCTTCATCAAATTGCAAACTATAAAAATAACAAGTGAAGTTTATAATTCTCAACAGAATAACAGCCACTGGCCTTGAGAAGATAAGATGCAAACACCCAATCATCATTATTATATTTAGTCACCTTTTTATAATAGACCCTAGATGGATTTTCATTTTGCAAACTTTGACACCATTTTCTAACGTAGAACACTTCATCAGCTCACATAATTTATGCAACCCTCTACAATAGTATACTCTTCTGGAAAGTTATGGAAAAACAGTTATTTTATGTTACAGAAGTCCTACACCTCATCACGAATAATTAACACTAAGATGTTCTTTTCTACATTCTGATGGTGTCACATTTGTTAAGCACACATGGTATAAAACTGCGTGCAAAGCAAGATTCAAATTATGTAAAAAAAAAAATTGTTTACATTTTATTTACTGAATGAAAAATCAATATGTACTTGATGACCATAAAAAACACAATATGCTTAATATTATTAAAGTCATTGGGTTTTCTGTTCTGCTTTACTGTTTATTCTATCATGTAGACAATGATAAACAACCATGGAATAAAAAGCTCTGATAGCAATCAGGTTGGTTTGTGTCAAACGATCAATCAGTCAATCAAAAATATTTTATTTATAAAGCTCTTTACAAGTAGGAAAATGTGCTCAAAGTTTTTTTTTTAACAGTACAAGAGTTAAAGGTCTGAGTTGGAGGGTTGCCTGCTAAACTCGGACATAATTTTTAGTTCATATATACCTGTATATATGTATACATATACATATACTATATATATATATATATATACATTGATATATATATATATATATATATATATATATATATATATAGTAATCTATCATTGGGGCTTTAAGGCACTACGATGTTTTATTATTCATTTTCCACCCAATAGGTTTAATCTATTTGGAACCACTGGTGTGAACATGTCTACGTTATTCAATATGTTTCTATGATATATCATGAATCCTAAATATTATTGTAATACTTAGGAGTGTGTATGCAGTAAAGCAGTGAAGGAGCCCTTTTACCATTCTGTTCAAAGTTTATATCACTTGTCTTGTGAGACAACTTTAAAATAAATCATAAAGAAATTATACACCAAAGCATAAAGCTTGATCAGTAATGAATATGATTTGTTGTTGCATTACAGTTGGACAGAGTATAACATGCTATTCCTCACCAACCATTAATAGGCTTTAGCATTTTATGACAACAAATTATTTAGTCCAAAACACTGAAGCATGGTAAAAGTTGTAGAAGTACTTCTCATAGTAACTACATGTGTAATTGCATGTGTTCTGACCTCATGTCAGATCCTGCTGTGTGGAGAGTGACGACTGTTTCTTTAAAAAGTAATGATCTGAAAAGGAATGATTCTGCATGTTCAGAGTCATTTCAAATCAAAACTAAAAATTTGAAGCATCAAGTAAGAGGAATAATCAAAAGTTAGCCCAGTCCATCAATAATTCATCAATTTGTCATTAGGTTGTGACACACTGAATGTCACACACATTAAAACATACAGATTTGTCATAGTAATATTTAATCAGGTCTTAAAGATGTGACATGACGTGCAAAGTGTTCAACAAGACATCCATTATCTTTACCAGCTTATTCTGTTTCCATTATCTTTACCAGCTTATTCTTTTTTGGGTCACGGGAGTCACTTTTGCCCATGTCCACACATCACTGTGCGAGAGACGGGGGGACACCCTGGACAGAGACACATAGAGACAAACAAGACAAACATTCACACTCATTTGTTCAAATTCATACAATTATAACTTTAGTGACAACCCCTCCCCCCCCACCCCCACCCTTCCCCTGCATTTTGCCTTGCAGCAGCAGTCAGTATTGTTTTTGCCAATGTCTCTGTGTCTGTGTGTTACCAGAATATCTTGTGAACCACTCACAACACACAGTTTTGTTGAAACTTTCTGAAAGTAATGGCTGCATTTACAACTACAACTTCCTGTATAATCAGGTCTCCTTGTAAATGAGTCTCCGAGGCTCAGTGGGATTAACCTCTATAAATAAAGGTTGCATGAATAAAAATAATAATAAAAAAAAACTAGTTAACTTTAACAGCAAAACCTGATCAAGATGATTTTGATTCATGCTCAATAATCTAGGTAGAAACATCCAACTAAGTTAAGTCAGGTCCTGTGGACAATTTCTTTATGTTGAAACATTTCTTCTTTCATCCAGAAGACTTCATCAGACCGAGGCCAGCCATGTCTTAACTTTGTTGGATCTTTTTTACCTGGATTATTGAGCATGAATCAAGATATTTTGACTCACTTTGGTCATGGCTGCCTCAATCGAGTCGTCAGGGGAGAGGGCGGACTACAGAAACCATCTGAGCACCATCCAACTGGTTGATCCACTATGTGAAGGTGCAATTTATAAGACTGAGTTTGTTGTGTCTCCTCGAACTGATAAAGTGTTTTGAATGAAAGACGAAATGTTAAAAAAAAAAAAAAACATTCAGAGGACCTGACTTAACTTTGTTGGACTAATCAAGATGGCTGCCACAGCCTATTGACTTCAGAAAACACTAAATGGCTGTAATTCATTAAGTGTTACAACTAATTTTACTTTGGTACAGGCCCATACTCTTAAGCATGCATTGAACATTAAGTTACTTTTTAGAAGTTTGACCTTATCAGTTGTCAACATTAGATGATCTCAGTCTAAAACTCTGGTATTAAAGACAGCGGGCGATATGCATTCCTCCAAGAATTTCTGTGCCTTTAATCACAAATGTGAATAAGACTGAATGATACACAGTTCTTTTTTAAACAAACATGTTTGTTTGACTATTTGTGTCGGTGTATACAGTCTTTTTTTTTTTTTAATCTGTTGTATTTTTGTGCAACCCTTTGAACGTATGATCCTGCTAGTGCTCTTAGCGTGTGCAGGTAGTAAGGTTACAGAGTCAGGGCTGCATTCAGTCATCTGTAGAGGGATCTGCATGACCCAAGCAAGAAGTTACAGATGATAACAGTTTTACATTAGCTCGTACAACTTATTGCGTTTGAAAGATGTTCATTAAACTCTTCTTTAAAGCTTTTTACTATGATTTTTCCATGGAAGATAAATGAAGGTATTTTACGAAGAAGTTTACAATATAATGCGTAATGCAACCAGACCACCAACGATGCTACTTTTCCAATCAGTAATATATACTTAAATTCACAGATAAAATGTCTACCAGAAGAAAATTTCTTAAAGCAATGTTTTTATTGCAAGAAGTGTAAAACGCTGCAAGTAAACCAACCTTGGAAGGAAAAATGTGTCGTATTAAAAAACGAAATTAAAGCTCAACACATTTTAACCAACTAGATTTGAGGTTTTGCAGTGCTCTGTTCCATTACTTTATATTTTCATGGAAAGCGCTGCAGTGTCTAAGCCTAAATAAAACATCTAATTGAGTATTTTCCTAATCAGTCAGTCAGTTAGCGCACCTGGTCGACATCAGGTGTTGCTACTTATGCCTCTGCTGCTAATGATGGTTTTTAAATAAAAGAATGCCAGGAAGAGCAGCAGAGCTTTTAATGTTGGAAATCACTCTCATGAATCAGCATGCAATCCAAATCCATTGTAGGCCAGCCAAGCTGAAAAAAATAATGTTTGGAAACATGGCTGTTCAAAACGATGACTGTTGTTAGAATAAAATGTCTGCCATGGCTTTATTTTCTCAGCCAAGTCCCTGCTTGACTTCCATTCAGAGTACAGTTTCTGTTGCTTCTCAGTTGAAAAAAAAAAAGAGTCTCTTTCACACATATTCACAGCTATTCTCTCCCTCTCCCACAGAGCATGACGAGTGCGCAAGTGGCCAAAATTTGTGTGATGAGAATGCCATCTGCACCAACACCATCAGAGGACACCTGTGTACCTGCAAGCCAGGCTATGTGGGCAACGGCACCATCTGTAGGGGTAAGTTCTTGGCCTGGAACAGCCTTCGATCCACACAAAGACCCAAACCCATTTTGCACATCTGAATGTAACTTATTGTGCCCTTCATGGCGACATGGTTTGGTCCTTTAAATCGCCTAACCAGGCAGCAGCTGTAGCAGAGATGATGAAAATTGATTCTAGACTGGCCTCAGCCTGTTTTTATGTGTGTGCAACCACTGCCACATTGTTCTCCTGGTTCCCTGTTGACATATTTCCACAGCACCAAGCCTGGTGAGCACTTCATTAGTTGGATTTAGGAAGAGGTTGAATGTGGTGTGTGTTGTCTTTGCAAAACTATTCATCTACGTTTTTCCATGCAAACATTTTATGTTATATGACAATTACTGTTATCGTCTGCAGTTTATGGTAAAATTCACTACAGAGATTTACTTTCAAAAAGCCATTCTTTTTTCCAACTTTTATGCATTGCACACAGGTTGACCAGTATTTGTATGCAGCAAATACTTAAAATAACCTTCTGTATTTACCATAATTAAGAGTAGGTTTGTATAAAACCCTAAGGTAAAATTATTTTCATAATTATACTTCTATAAAATAAATAAATATTATAGATCTATATTAGAAAAAAAAAATCAAAGTCGCAAAACGTGACTACTTCTTAGCTCAGACCACAAAATATCTAAATGACCCTAAAAGAGTCTGGAAAATTATCAAATCACTTTCCGGGAGCTCCCATTCATCTGACAACTTCTTGTTAACTCTGTTCCTGTGTCAAATAAGCACAAGATCCTGAACTGTTTCAACAAACATTTTGTTGCTTCTAGTTGCTTGTTTGCCACAGTTACTAATGGAAAACCAGCTACGTGTCCTTTAATCTCCTAGGACCTGGTATCCACATATGCAAGAGTCCGGGTCTTGGGAGGTTAAGCAAAATGTCTACAAATCAAATATCTCCCTCAAGTCAATCCTCAGTAAACCATACCTGTTCATTTTCAATGTTTCTGTTAGTGAGGTTAACAAATTATTAAAAGGTTGGGACCCTAGAAAATTTGCTGGCTCTGATGACCTTCCACCTTATTTCGTAAGGTTGGCTGCACAAATCATTGCAGAACCAGTGTCTCACATATTTAATCTATCCATAAACCAAAACACTGTTCCAAATGCCTTGAAAACAGCTTTTGTTCTAACTTTACTGTAGGGAGGAGAACTCACAAATACTGAACAACTACTGACCAATCTCTAAACTCTGTATTCTTGCTATATTTTTAGGAAAATTGATAAACTCTCAAGTGAAGACGTATTTGGATTCTTTCAACATTTTACCTCCCCATTAATGTGATTTCAGAAAACAACACAGCAACGACTGCTTCACTGAAGATTTTTAATAATGTTGTTGAAGCACTGGATGCTAAGGGTTATTGTGCTGCACTTTTCTTAGACCTGTCTAAAGCTTTTGACACTGTGGATCATGACATCTTATAAGCTCTCAGAAATTGGTTTCTCAGATCACACTATTGGCTGGTTCTCTAATTATCTCTCAGATCAGGGACAATGTGTTTAACATAACTACTTTTTCCAGCTATCTAGCTGTTAACAACAGTGTACCACAAGGTTCAGTCTTAGGACCCACCCTCTTCACAATCTACATAAGTAATGTAGGTCAGATCATTCCTGATGCATCCTTACATTTCTATGCTGATGACACAGTTGTTTATTGTCGAGATAAAACAGTTGCTAAGGTTTTCCAGATTTTTCAGTCTGCATTCAACATCATCCAGTCAGATTTGTTCCATCTCAAACTGGTGCTAAATGCTGATAAAATCAAAGGGATGTTGTTTTCAAACAGGAAGTCGGTACCAGCAGCCCTTCCTTGGGTATTTTGGTTGATTCACATCTCTCTTTTAAAACTCATGTGGAAAACTTGGTAGAGAAATTGAAAGTAAAATTGGGTTTAATTTTTAGAAATAAATCCTGTCTAACTCTGAATGCTAGGGAATGCCTTGTAACTGTGACTTTCCTCCCCTCCTTTGACTACGGTGACATTTACATGAAGGTTCCCGCAAGCACCTTGCAGATGTTGGATGCTGTCTATTGTGGTGCGCTCCGATTCATAACTGGCTATAATTACCGTACCCACCACTGCACCCTGTATTCATTGGTTAACTGATCATCATTAACTTCACGCAGACTCTCTCACTGGTACATTTTCTACCATCTTTAAATCACTTATTGTTTTGTTGCCTTTATATACATATCTCCTTCTACATGTCTCTGCGTGAGTGCAGTTACAGCGTGCACTCTCAGGACATTATTACCTGCAGTGTTCCCTCAGTGCGGACCGAACTAGGCAAAAGGGCCTTCTCCTACTCCGTTCCTGTTTCCTGGAATATCTTGCAAAAAGATCTGAAGCTCTCGATCTTGACCTCTTTAAGGGATTTTAAACAACTGTTAAGTTCATGGCAAAAAACAACGCAGACATGTCCCTGTTTTTAGTATTTTAGATCGCTTTATAATGTAGCTGGTTTTTTTTTTTTATATATATATATATAATTTTTTCTATTTTTAATTTTATTTACTTTTTATTTGAAAATCTATTGTCATTTGTACCTCATCTGAGTTTGTTGTTTAAAACAGGTCTCTCTTGTAAATGAGTCCTGGAGGCTCAATGAGACTAACCTGTTTAAATAAATGTTTAATGAATAGTTCCTATTCCCATTTCTCCTCCATGTAGGCTAATGAGGTGAGGACATGAAACACACAAAAAAACAAGTCTGACAATTCTGACATTCAACACATCTGCATGATCTCACTTTATGTGTATATTTTGCAAAAAAGGATGTTTTAATAACTGAGTACTTTTTTTTTTTTTTGTGAACAGGTGACAACATAAAATAAAAAAACAAAGTGACACAAATTAGATCATCTTGAAGTCAGTTAGGAAAGATAAAGCAGTTATCGGTCGGGCTCAATCTAGGAATAATAATTTTAAAATGTCCTGAAAACAAAGCATTGTTTTCTGTTAGTTTTTTCTTCCAGAAGTTTTGTACTTTTGCACTTGAAACAAAGCTCTGATAAGAGAAACAGGGGACATACCGCAGAATCACGCTGCTTACTCAGATGCGTCAGGTCGCTGAGGTGGGTTTACAGGTCACTGATAAAGTTATGGGTTCAAATGAATTATAACATTTACATAAATAGCATGCATATCAAACTTCAGTTTAATTGATCTTCAGTCGTAGACTGAGACCACCGAGGTGCTCCACAGAACGCCACAGGAAGTCCTTCCTCCTTTTGGCTATCAAACTTTTCAACTCATCCCCCTTTCTACACATAGAACAATAAAATTAACCCTGCACTACAATAAACATTTTAATGTTTCTGTCTGCACCTGACCTGTTTTAGAACTTAACTGTTGGTATTGTTATATTCTCTGTTATGTTTATATCTTGTGTGATTCCTTGTGTATGATCATTTGTACTGAAACTCTGGCACAACAAGTTCCTGCGGGATCAATAAAGTTCTATCTTATCTCTCATACAGTATTACATCAATTAATATGCTGGATACATTTTACATTTGATTTACACGTTTTATGTTGTTGTTCCATTTGTTTTAGTCCATCTTCTGTAAGCTGTTATTGGGTGAGTGGAATTATGGAATACACATCTGAAAATATGGATCCTTAAAAAAATAAACACCATAGCATTTTGTTTGGGAGTTAGAGGTTGGTTTGCAGCAGGAATGACTCAAGTGAACTCATCATTTTAGGGACTGATTTAAATTAATCTGAGTCTATAAAGTGAGCCAGATTTACCACCTCTACTGCAGATCAAAAACATACAAGATGGGTTAAATGACCATTTTACATTTTGAGTAGGTGTGAGAATGTGAATGCTTTGGTTGTCTCCATGTGGCCCTGTGAGGTACGTGTGACTTGACCACGCTTCTCGAACAGTGACTGCTGTAGATAAGCACCAGCTCCCACGACTCTGAATTTAAAAGCTGTTTAAAAAAAAAAAAAATGAAAGATACTTACAGATCTTGTATTTATATGTAAAACCTTATTATGGTTTTCTTTGTGTGTGTGTGTGTGTGTGGAAAATCATATGACCCCATGAGATTACTTAGGGCTGTACTTGGATGGATGATAAGTGAGTTAGTACAGCTGGAAGGATGACTGATGAGCAACAGGCGTGCTGAGTTAATCAGGAGAGCTGAAGCAACACTGGCTGGGAACATGGATGAAACTAAACTAAAATACCAGACTAAACAGGTACGACACACTGATGGTAACTAATTTAACGTGTTTTCAAGTGTGAAAATATGAGATTCCCACAAGAATGGTACAGTTTTGGTTTTTTTCCTTTCACAACTGCTGTACATTGTTTCATACGTTTGTATGTCATACTGACATGATCCAACATCAAAGCCACACAAGTGTAAAAAGAATGTGAAATTTCACAGCAATAGACAAGAACTAAATTGCATTTCAAACCCACAAGTCTATGCAGTCACTAAATCCAGTTACCGTTTTAAGTGCGTCAGTGCAGTATGTTTTTGAGAGTCACCCTGCTTTTTCACCAGGTCTCCAAAGAAAAGGGCCTATAAAGTTAGCTTTCAAAAGCACAAAGCAAGTTTTAACTGGTTTCAGTAGTCTGTCAAGATCTATGTCAGTACTGTTTGTATCCAGTAAGTTCTGGATTTTAAGCAACTATGCAGGGTGACCAATAAACTGTAATAATAGGGCAGCTATGCATCAGTGGTAAGGCAGTTGACCTTGACCAGTTAGATTCCCCAATCTTCACATGTCCTGGTGTCCTTGAGCAAGACACCTAATCTCCAACTCCTCCCCAGGCACTCGAATAACTGCCCGCTGCCCCACTTCGGTGCATCTTATGTATGATGGGTCAAATACAGAGTACACTATTCATCGTTATATGGGAGCATACATTGACACATAGCACATTTAACGAACAGTACTTGTATTTTAAAGAAAACCATAGTGATGGATGGTTAAT